AGAATTTTAAGAGTGTGCAAGATACTAACGAAAGGATTGAACTAAAAAGATTTCTAAGAGTGCGCAAGATACTAACGAAAGAATTGAACTAAAAAGAATTTTAAGAGTGCACAAGATACCAACGAAAGGATTGAAGTATAAAGTATTCTAAGAGTGCACAAGATATTAGCGAAAGAATTGAACTAAAAAGAATTTTAAGAGTGCGCAAGATACTAACGAAAGGATTGAACTAAAAAGATTTCTAAGAGTGCGCAAGATACTAACGAAAGGATTGAAGTATAAAGAATTATAAGAGTGCGCAAGATACTAACGAAAGGATTGAAGTATAAAGAATTTTAAGAGTGCGCAAGATACTAACGAAGGGATTGAAGTATATTGAATTTTAAGAGTGCGCAAGATACTAACGAAAGGATTGAAGTATAAAGAATTTTAAGAGTGCGCAAGATACTAACGAAAGGATTGAACTATAAAGAATTCTAAGAGTGCGCAAGATACTAACGAAAGGATTGAAGTATAAAGAATTTTAAGAGTGCGCTAGATACTAACGAAGGGATTGAAGTATAAAGATTTCTAAGAGCGCGCAAGATACTAACGAAAGGATTGAAGTATAAAGAATTTTAAGAGTGCGCAAGATACTAACGAAAGGATTGAAGTATAAAGAATTCTAAGAGTGCGCAAGATACTAACGAAAGGATTGAGCTAAAAAGATTTCTAAGAGTGCGCAAGATACTAACGAAAGGATTGAAGTATAAAGAATTTTAAGAGTGTGCAAGATACTAAGGAAAGGATTGAACTAAAAAGATTTCTAAGAGTGCGCAAGATACGAACGAAAAGATTGAACTATAAAGAATTTTAAGAGTGCACAAGATACTAACGAAAGAATTGAACTAAAAAGAATTCTAAGAGTGCGCAAGATATTAACGAAAGGATTGAACAATAAAGAATTCTAAGAGTGCGCAAGATACTAAAGAAAGGATTGAACTTTAAGAGTGCTAACACATTGAACTTTAAGAGTACTAACGCAACAAACCAACAAAGACAACTCTACGAATGCGCACGATACTAACGAAACAATCGCACTAAAGAGAATTCTAGGAGTGTGCAGAATGATCACAGAAAAACCGAACTCAACATAATGCTATAAATGCACGAGATACTAACGAAACGGGTGAACAGAAGAGAATTCTAAGAGTCCGCGGGATACTAAGACAACAATCGAACTAAAAAGACTATAAAGAGTGCGCGAGATACTAACAAAACCATCGAACTAAGGAGAATTCTCAAGCTGTGCGAGATATCAACGCAGCAATGAAACTGAAAAAAAACTACGACGAATGCGCAAGATACGTAGGAAATGACCCAAGTAAAGAGAATTCTGAGAACATACGGGAGATATTTATGAAATAAATAAACTAAAGGGAATTCTTACAGTGTGTAGGAGATACTAAAGAAACAATCGAACGAAAAAGAATCCACAGTGTGCGTGAGATACTAACGAAACAAAACTAAAGAGAATGCTCAGTGTGCGCGAGATATTAACGAAACAATCAGACTAGAGAATATCCTCAGTGTGCGCGAGATATTAAAGAACAAATCAAACTTAAGACCATCCTCAGTGTGCACGAGATATTAACGAAACAATCAAACTAGAGACAATCCTCAGTGTGCGCGGGATATTAACGAAGCAATCAAATTAAAGACAGTCCTCAGTGTGCGTGAGATATTAACGAAACCATCAAACTAAAGACAATCCGCAGTGTGCGCGAGACGCAAACGAAACAATTAAACTAAAGAATACCCTCAGAGTGCGCGGAATACAAACAATCAAACTAAAGACAATCCTCAGTGTGCGTGAGATATATACGAAACCATCAAACTACAGACAGTCCTCAATGTGCGCGAGATATTAACCAAACAATCAAACTTAAGACAATCCTCAATGTGCGCGAAATATTAACGAAAAAATCCAACTAAAGACAATCGTCAGTTTGCGCGAGATATTAACGAAACAATCAAACTAGAGACAATCCTCATGATCAGTATGTGTGAGATACTAACGCAACAATCAAACTAAAAAGGATCCTCAGTTTGCGCGAGATACTAACGAAATGATCAAACTAAAGAGAATGACTTTCTACGTGTTATTTCTTGGGCATGTTGGTATTATCACCCCTTATTGGTGTTAGTTAATTATCTATTGTGCTATGTAGCTATATATATTTGTTAATGTATGCTGTTTGTCACTCTCGCTCCAGTACGCTGTACCAGGCAGACAATTTTTTGTTAGACACAAGAAGACACAAGATGCCCCTTCCGGGACAAAATGCTCCCGATTTGCGAGAAGAAGGTTCTTCTAACACTGGTTCTGATGGTTTTCATTCTTTAGTGCAGCAGGCTGTAGCTGATTCGATGGCTTCCGTTACCATGCAGATATCGTCTTTAATCGACACCCGCTTCGACAACTTTAAAAAGCAGTTCACGGAGGAAAATTCTTCATCAGTTGAGGCAGCCGTTAAACGTGCGAAGCGCGCTCGTTTTGTTTTCCAGAGCAAAGGAAATGAGCAGCAGTTTGAGCATGCCGAATCTGTTTTGGACAAGCTCGAGAGTGCGAAGGGTGCGCTTAACGCCAATGCCACTTCCAAAGTCAGTATAGCTGGGCTACTGTTCAAGAGTACCTTTCGGACGAATTAGCATCTGACTCGGAGGACGAGAAGAGGTTATTTCGCTCAGAGAGGAGAGCAGAGAAGAAAGTTAAGGATTCGAAGAAGAAGCGCTCTCAGAAGTATCAGCATCAAAGATTTCAGCCTTATCCACCGTTCAACCCTAACCACCGTTCTTCCTTACCGGCTTCGGATGCGAATTCTAATACAGGAAGTCGTTTTGGCCGTGATCTAGGCGTTCGTGGTCGACAGATTGGCCCGTGTTTTAAGTTAAGTGTCAATTTGTTATTGTTGTTGTTTCTTAACTGCTTAGACTAGCTTTGGTTACTCTCTGGCTTTTGCCTGGTACTTGGAGCAGGCCTTATCCTCCAAGGTTATATGGTTTTCTTGCATTGTTATTTAGCGTAGAATGCAAATTATCTCCGGTACGACGTATAGGAGATAATGCTCATTGTGCGCGAGATTTTAGCAAAACAATGAAACTTAAGACAATCCTCAGTGTGCGCGAGATATTAACGAAACCATTAAACTAAAGAAAATCCTCAGTGCGCGCAACATATTAACCAAACAATATAACTAAAGAAAAACCTCAGTGTGCGAGAGATATTAACCAAACAATCAAACTAGAGACAATCGTCAGTGTGCGCGAGATATTAACGAAACCATCAAACTAAAGACGATCCTCAGTGTGCACGAGATATTAACGAAACTATCAAACTAAAGACAATCCTCAGCGTGCGCGAGATATTAACAAAAAAATCAAACTAGAGACAATTCTCAGTGTGCGCGAGATATTAACGAAACAGTCAAACTAAAGACAATCCTCAGTGTACGCGAGATATTAACCATACAATCAAACTAAAGACAGTCCTCATTGTGCGCAAGATATTAACCAAACAATCAAACTAAAGACAATCCTCAGTGAGCGCGAGATATAAACGAAACCATTAAACTACAGGCAGTCCTCAATGTGCGCGAGATATTAACCAATCAATCAAACCAAAGACAATCCTCACTGGGATATTAACGAAACAATCCAACTTAAGACAATCCTTAGTGTGCGCGAGAAACTAACAAAACAATGAAACTAAAGACAATCCTCAGTGTGCGTGAGATATTAACGAAACAATCAAACTAAAGACAGTCCTCAGTGTGCGCGAGATATTAACTAAAACCATAAAACTACAGACAGTCCTCAGAATGCGCGAGATATTAACCAAACAATCAAACTTAAGACAATCCTCAGTGTGCGCGAGATATTAACGATACCATCAAACTACAGACAGTCCTCAGTGTGTGCGAGATACAAATGAAACAATCCAACTAAAGGCAATCCTCATTGTGCACGAGATGTTAACGAAACAATCGTTAACAATCGCGAAGATCGCTTTCATATTCACGTCTTTATCCACAGTTCAAATATATGACTTTCATATATTCACAGCCAATCAAACTAAAGACAATCCTCAGTGTGCGCGAGATATTAACCAAACAATCAAACTACAGACTGTCCTCAGTGTAAGCGAGATACAAACGAAACAATCCAACTAAAATAATCCTCATTGTGCGCGAGAGATTAACGAAACAATCAAACTAAAGACAATCCTCAGTGTGCGCGTGATATCAACGAAACAATCAAAATAGAGATAATCCTCAGTGTGCGCGAGATATTAACGAAACAATCCAACTAAAGACAATCCTCAGTGCACGCGAGATATTAACGAAACCATCAAACTAAAGACAATCCGCAGTGTGCGCGAGACACAAACGAAACAATTAAACTAAAGAATACCCTCAGAGTGCGCGGAATACAAACGAAACAACCAAACTAAAGAGAATCCTCAGAGTGCGCGAGATACAAACGAAACATTCAGACTAAAGAGAATCCTCAGAGTACACGAGATTCTGTTGAACATTTCTTTTTTGTCTCAAACTTTTGCCCAGTCCATAAAAATCAACAATATTTCCCCCACAGTGGTAGCTCAAGTATAACCAAGCTGCAAAACATTTGAACATTTGCGAACTATACAAGCCAGTTCATAAGCAATCCTGAACTTAACTGTACAAAAATAATCCTATTTTGCACCAGATCAATAAGTAGCTTGCTGTTCAATATATGCAGCATAACTACAGTTGTGAACACTACTTAGGTAGTAGTAAAAATAAGGCCTAAAAAAACTCAGGCCCCTCCCTGATTTATACCCATGACCATCTGAGCTGGTTAATAAATGACTGTAAATATATGAAAATCATATATGTGAACTATATTATTTATATTATATATTATTCACCACTTTGAGGGTAACTATTTGGAACCAATATGATGACCAGCTCCCAGTTGGCTTGTTAGCTCAGTTGGTAGAGCACTGCACCACTATCGCAGAGGTCATGGGTTCAAATTCCACACAGGCCTGAATTTTTTTTCAGGCCTTATTTTCACTACTACCTAAGTAGTGTTCATAACTGCCAGGATGGCTTTCACATTCATTTCTTCAGCCGCACATTCACATATGTGATTTTCACATAGTTACAGTCATTTATTCACCAATTCGAGGGCTTATTTGGAACCAACATAATGACCAGGTCCCAGTTGGCTTGTTTGCTCAGCTGGTAGAGCACTACACCAGTATTGCAGAGGTCATGGGTTCAAATCCTATACAAGCTTGAATTTTTTTTTCAGGTCTTATTTTCACCACTACTTAAGTTAAGTGTTCATAACTGCGAGGATCATTTCCATATTCATTTCTTCAATCACTGTTCACATATATGATTTTCATATATTTACAGTCATTTATGATTACAGTTATTAATAACCATGCAAGATATACAAGGTGCATAGTTTTTATGTATATAATGCTTTGCAGCTTGGGTTGCACACAATATCTACAGGTTCATAAACAGTAAGGCATGTGTACATTCTTAACTGCAATCCAATGAAATCATTCTCACCTTTTATAATCAATGTAATCAGGAATCTCATTAGAGTTGTTAATGTTATCCATGTTGAGCCTTAATCAGTGTACATCCACTGTGTTTCTTAAACCTGCTGAAAAAGAAAATAACAGTAAATTAACTCTAAAATTCTCTTGACATGGCAAATATCATTTATATTAATGAAAACTCTATTACAGAAATACTGTATAAAAACCAATCTACTTAAATATATTATATAATAACAAGCTATAGAGTAAAAATTTTGAATTGTAACTGGATATAAACATTTAAATGATGTAAAAGTAAGCATTGGTCATGAATATTATAAATGTGGTGGCTTGTAATCAGCTCTTTACACTTTTGAATAGGGAATGTAGCTGAACTATTACCCAAAAGCTATACTTTGCCACTTTACAAAAATTGATGTCAAGACCTTTGGCAAGTGTCTGTTGTATTTGGTGCATCTCTCTGTATCCACATCTTCACCCTTCATTTATACAATGTCATCAGTGAGCTTTTCTATTGCTTTTAATTTCACATTGTTCTGAAGATTTCTTGAGCCCACCCATAAGTATTTTAACTAGATACAAATAAGGGATCTTGCAATTTTGGGGGAGTCTTCCACTAAATAAAAATATTGTCTTCCATGTTCATGAAGCTGGTACTAAAGGAGGGTTGTTCAAAGTGTTAATCTTTCTAAATGTGATGACCATCAAGGAAAGTTGCTGGTATAAGCAGCAAAAGCCTGTTGCTGAGGATCTTGGAGACATACAACTCCGTGTTCATGATTCACTATCAGTTCCATTGGCTCCCTCTTTGAGATTTCCGGCATCCCATATGTGCACCTTAACATTATTTTTAGGTATACCCTGAGGCTTTGCCAGGTTGTTTTGGTGAGCTGTGTTAAGATTTTTGTCCCCTGCCAAATTTTCTGTTTCAAGAATTAAATCATTCCTATAAAATGCTGATCAACATTGATCAAAAAAAATTATTTCAGCATCTCAGAACTTGAACCTCTATTCCTGAATCTCAAGATTTAGAAGTAAAATCTTGATTCTCAAAAGTTTTGCAAACTGAAAATCAATTTTTTGAATGAGAATGTCGACTGAGTACTTCACCTTAAAACAATGTTTCAATTTATGTTAACCTATTATCATCATTATTATTGACAAAGCAAACCCCCAAATTAAACACGAGGAGAATTCTGGGATGAGGATGCCTTCCCATCAAGTGAGGCATTGTTTCACAAAAATTTTACCAAGACATCCATTCTACAATTTTAAATTGTCACATCTATTAAAACCTTCTGATACAAACTGAGAGGATGAAGGGAAGTCTCAGCCGTCTAAGGATATGCATTTTAGTAATTGTCATGTACCCACTACAGGGCCATTGAAGTCCACCTTGTAGGCAGACTTCGAAGAACAAGGAAGAACAAAATAAGAACTGATCTGACTCAAGGAGTTGTAAAGAAGTGGCCATTGTATTCTACGGTTTTGGCGACAAGATGAATGTTTGATAACAACGCTTGAAAATATATTACGACCACCGTTATGTACCTTCTTGCTTCAGAGGTCGTCACGAGTCATCTTTGTGTTCACGTAATTGCCATCTGCTGCCATACTCCAATTGTCTAAGCAGTGATATAATTTGCACTAGCCACAACTGAAAAGTTTGCAAATGTGATACACGCCCACCAAACCCAGGTAAACATATTATAAATTATTTCCCAAGTCCTCAGTGCCAGTCTCCTAAGGAGCGCGACGAGATCGCGCGAGGACAAGCATGGGGTTGTGTGGAACAGCTCTGTCCATCATTAAAAATAATCTGATAATTATGATAATAATGATAATTATGAAAATAAAGACAATGATGAGAATAATAAGAATTAGGAGGATAATAATTTTTTTAGGCCTTTAATATTAACTGTCCAGTCCTTGAAAAAGCGTTTCATGTAAGGTAAATGTCTTTTTATTAGAGGTTGTGCTAACTTATACACAAATTGAAAAAAAAAAAAAAAAAAAGCCGACGCAGCAGAATGACTCAACTGACAATACTTTCCTCTGAATAAACCCTCCAGGGTTTATGCATATTCTGGTAAATTTGTCCAGGTTTAAAAAGAAATTAAGCTGTGTTTTTACCTTCAATAAACTCCGTATCAGGCATGAGAGAAGTACAATTAACAAGGGAATCCTGCGTAGTTTCTTCCCATTTAACTCCTGGTGGTCCTAGATTATCAAAATACTTTGTAGTGACGTTTTTGGAAGTCTTAACTCCGCCGTAGTGATTTACTTGCATTGAAAAAAAGGCTGATTTTATATACAGATCTACTTTTATGTTCAAGATTTTCTTTTATGTGAGAAACTGTCATATCTGGAGTTCAACTTAATTGTTTTATAGTGCAATGCAAAACTCCTGACGAGCTACTGGATGTCTTTAAAATACTATTTACAACTTGAGTTTATCCACACTGGCTAGTATTTAAATTCACCATTCCCTACATATTCGTGATATTTTTTGTTTTTAAAGGAAATATCAAGTTGACACTGTCAGTACAATCAAGAAAAGTCCCATCTCATTTTCGAATTAAATCGTAGCGTAAATTGTCATAACGTACTTTTCATTGCGAACATGACGTATACAAGTTGTACCGTGTCTCTTTGTGAATCTTATCTGTTACTGCAATTACCTCAGATTCTGAATTTAATCTAAGAGCGATTTATTTTAATTAATCCTGCCAGTTTCAAAAAAAAAGTGAAACCGGTTTCAATATGTTTAAACGATTTATTTTCTCATTCTACGTCTAGGCGTGAAACCGATTTGACACTTTTAAATAGTGTAGCAGAAATTTAAAGAGTATCTCCGTCACTTTTTCGTAATATTTCCATATCACTAGTTTCATATTATGACACGCTTTGGTCGGCAACTGATAAAGACCACAACTTAATACGGTCAGTGATAACTGTTGAGAAAAAGGAGAAAATAGGTGAACCAAACAACTCGTTTCCTGCTTTCTTTGAGAATCGCCTTTCGTCATGTCTTGCTATCTACTTTGCCGAATGATGTTCATTATTGTCTAAGATTTCACTAATCCAGATTTTTTCTCTTCTTTCCTTTTCATTTGTTTTCTCAAAATTTTTTTTCGTTCTTAATTTTGTTAGCAACCAACTTCTTGTAGTTATTTCATGTACTAAGGAGATTTGTTTATGTAAAATTCTAGGCACTTACGACTGTACAATTTAAAAGAATGTCACCAGCGTAGAGATTCTACCAAATTAAACAATGCTTATTTTAAAATAAGGATTGCGTAAAATCCTTGTACCTGAAAATTAACTTAAAATTGTTCTTATTTCGTCGAAGTTTTCGCATTGCATTCAGTCTGTAGAACAGTAGCGCGAATCACAACCAGGTGGTTGAAAAAACTCGTAGATGAAGTAGGATCCACAGTTTTTAACAGAAATCTCGTTTGAGTATTTGCAACCAGTAGAGCGATCACTAAAGCAGACCGTCCGGAGAACTTCACCATCTTCCAATGTAGGATGAGCAGTCATTAACCAGCCCGACCAGTTTGTTCCACATCTGTATGCTGGCACACGCGTTGTTGGCATTTTTGTTCCTGCAGCTCCCACAAAACGATACCATCCCTCAGGGAGTGAATTGTCGCACACCTCTTGATACTGGGGTGTTTGGTGATTGCTCTTTCTATCGGCATCGCTCAGGCTTTTGTAATTATAACACGGATCAGCTTAAAAGTAAAATGATAATCATGAAAGGATTGTAATCATGACGTATGATCAATATGTAACACGTTTTTCACCTTTACGATCTAAGAAGTTTACCATTCAGCACAAAAACAGTATTGCAATCAAGCTAGACGTAAACCAACTCTTGTGAGGAAATTTTATTCATAGTTTTTCGAGAGCAGTATATCCAAATTAGCGTTTTTTAACAGGCAAAAAAAAAGAAAAAAAAAAGGCAAATTTAAGGAAGAGCTAGTGTGATGACCAATTAGCTTTATTTGGCCAAAAATGGTCCCCTGAACGGCAATGATTTAGACTGGGTCTATCCAAGACCTGCCTTGACAAATTGAGAGTCATGGAAAAGGTCAAACGCACCTTCACAATTAAAACCATCACCGACGTAATTAGGGTTACAAGAGCAATTGTATGAGCCCTGCGTATTAATACAAGAGGCATTCAGATGGCATTTGTTCCTTTTAACTGCATAGGTTTCGTTGCATTCGTCAATATCTGAAAGAAAACATAAATAATTCTTCAGAAATCATGGTATTGTGACTTTTAACACAACATGCTGGAAACTCAATAGAAGGGGGGGAGCGGATCTGTGCGTATGGAATTCCCCTTTCTATGAGAACTGTGGGAATTTTTACCACTTGTTTGACTGCAGGCCCCTTGTAACAGGAACGTACATTACCACACACTATGAAGTATTTTTAAAACATTTAATTGTATATATTAA